AAATAACAATAATAATAAAAGCTCCCCCTGCCATAGCCCTGTGATTGGGCATTTTGCATACCCCACTTGGGGGGGTGGGGGACTGAGGCACAGACAGGTGAAGCTCTTCCCCTGAGCTTACACAGACCAATGCAGCTCTTCCCAGCAACAAGTTCGTTGCTGCTTGTGCTGCTTCTCCCGGAGAACTTAAGCACCTACGTGAGCCAGGCATTGGGCGGTATGACAGCTTGGGGAGTCCACATCACTACCATCCACAGATCAGCCCTCCATGAGGCTCTGATCACCAGTTACTGAGCCCTGCAAAATATAGCTCTCTGCAAAATATAGTTAAGCCCTCTGCAAAATATAGCTCATTTAATCGACACTGCCTCGTGAGGTGGGCACACATCTGGAGCCAACCTGCTGGGAAATAAGCCCAGCTCATTGAAATAACAGTGTGAGACCTGGGAGCAGTCCCTTCTCCTCCATGTGCCTCAGTTTCCTCCCCCACACAATGGGGAGGATGACATGAGCTAACATGCAGCAAGTACTGAGAACAGTGTCGGGCACAGAGCAAGGGCAACCGAGGCTCAGAGAAGCCAAAAAATCTTAGTAATCAGCTGGTGCCCCACCCAGTGTTAATCAGAGAGGCCAGCCAGCCTTGGTTCCCTCCCCCTTTCCCTTCACAGCCCCGGTGGGAGTGTTGAGATAACCCACCGCCCCCGTTTCCTCCTGGCCAGGAAGGAGCCAGGCAGAGGAAGTATTAAGAGGAGTAATATAAACACTCCCCGCAAGGGCGGCAGGGTCCAGAAGGGGCACAGCCGCCACCCAGAGCAGGCCAGCCAGCTGAGCAGCGCTGGTGCACTGGGCAGCAGGCGGGGGAAGAAATGGGCCTGGCGATGGAGCACGGGGGCTCCTACTCAAGGGCGGGGAGCAGCCCACGTGGCTGCTGGTATTACCTGCGCTACTTCTTCCTCTTCGTGTCACTCATCCAGTTCCTCATCATCCTAGGCCTTGTCCTCTTCATGGTCTATGGCAATGTGCATGTGAGCACCGAGTCCAACCTGCAGGCCACCGAGCGCCGGGCCGAGGGCCTATACAGCCAGGTCGTGGGGCTCACGGCCAGCCAGGCCAACCTGTCCAAGGAGCTCAACCTCACTGCCCGTGCCAAGGACACCATCATGCAGATGCTGCTGAACGCCCGCCGTGACCTGGACCGGATCAATGCCAGCTTCCGCCAGTGCCAGGCCGATCGGGTAAGGTCAAGGGCCTGACACTGGCCCTGGGGACCCTGGGAAAGTCATATCAACTCTCTGAGCTTCAGTTTTCTGATCCATGAAATGGGATAGTCGTAGACGCTACATTTTGCTTGAGGAGCCCATGTGGATCAGCAATGCATATCGTGTTAGTGTAAGTATGTCCCATGCAACATTTAGGATATACTTAAATTAAAAAAAAAAAAAAAGTATTCATTATCTATCTGGAATTCAAGTGTAACTGGGCCTATGATTCAATATGCATAAAGTGCCCAGAATGTGCCCACTGCAAATACACTGCAAATAAGAGCTGGCTAAATAAAAACTCAGAATTTGGCTCTTACTTAGTAATAAGTATGAATGGCTTATAGTTGCCTTATGCTTATATTTCTAAAGGCATCAGCTTTAGAAATATCATCTCATCATTGAGCCCAGGAAGTAGGGAGAAGCTCTAAACCCTTGGGGAAATGGAGGCTGGAGAAGGAGATGGCTTTCATGAGCGGGCAGAAGCAGGTGGCCCCAGGGGGAAAGTCACAGCAGCACATGTGGGGGTCTCATGGAGACTGTCACCCCCTAGCACCCCCAGCTTGTGTCAAACTCACTAGGCAATCGCCGTGTTCCCTCACACGCACGTGCTTCCTCTGTGGAGGTCTTGGCGCCAGAGACAATGAGGAGGGGGCCCCCTGGGCCTCAGCTGGGATAGGGAGGGAAGCCGGATGGGGACAACCTTGGTTTTTCCCACAGGAGGGGTCCTGGCTGGCTGGGGTGAGGGAGGGGTGGAGGGCAGGGGGAAGGATAAGCCCCTGCTGGATTCTCAAACCACCCAGACTTCCTCACTGGGCAGAAAGGCCCCCATTAGACCTACCTGGAAGGGCCACATCTCCCCTTCTCAGACCCCAGAGCAGGGCAGATCCCCCTCAGACCCCCAGGGAAGGACAGATCCCCATCAGACCCCCAAATGGGGTGACTCTTCCCTCATACTCCAAAACAGGGTAGGTCCTCCCTCAGACCCCCAGAACGGGGTGTGTTCCCTCTCAGACCCCTGGGGCCTCAGGGCCGTGTACCCCATTAGATCCCCTAAGCCAGGACGGGCTCCCTCGGTCTTCTCACTTCCCAGAATGAGCCCGTTTGGATCATCCAGGACACACACCACCATCTGGCCCAGGAGCCATTAGGAAGGAATCAGGATCATAAAGTGTTAGACATTCTCACACATCCCAGAATCCTGACTCCCCATCACAGAAGATTAGAAATCTAAGACTCTGAATCTTTACAACCTTAAAATTTGAAAATCATGCTTTTTTTTTCCCCTTTGAGTTGACAAATTCCTCGAAACTGGAATCCCTGAGGGTTTTCTCTTGAGGGGACCTTGGGTCCCATGCACCCCACTCCAGGAGCAAGGTGCTAATGGCTGGGAAATAGTGCCCAGACCCACCCCAGCCACCCCAGTATCTGACGGTAGTGGATATGAATCTTGGTCTCTCCCCGGTTCTAGCAGTGCTAAGAAACATGATTTTTCTTAAAATTTCTGCAAAAATGCAACTGCATTTCTGGCCCTGGGATCCTGGAAGAGAGAAGAGCGTTGAACTCAGTGATTTTTTTGTGGGGGGTCTGTCTCACCACCACCTGTGTCAAGGCTCCAGGAATCTGACCCAAGATGTGGCTGGACATCCTGGGACCAACCCCCTTTTGACATTTGCTCTAACTGGCGGATAACCTCTTTCTCACTTCATGTTTGGACCCAACTCACTTTGTCTCCACCCGGAGTCTTTCTCCTTCCGTGGCTAAGGTTTTTGAAAGCAGAAGTCACTGGAACTTCCCAAACTATTGCTATGCTCTTGCTAACCCCAGGGCATTATTAGCACAGGCCCAGCTTCCTAGGGAGTAAGGACAAGGAGTGGCAGAAAGACAAACCTTCTGCACTCTCTGTATCTTTATTTATATTTCCACAAGGGGTTCTGCTCCACAGTTTGGAAGGCATAGCCTTTGTTGAATCGTAAAAACTTAATTCACAAGCCACACAAATGACTCATTTAAAGCATACAGTTCAATGATCTTTAGTACATTCACAGAGTTGTACCGCCATCATCGCAATTAATTTTGGAACATTTTTTATGACCGCAGAAGGAAACCTCATTGCCGTTAGCAGTCACTCCCATCCCTCCCTCCCCAGACGCTGGCAACCGCAAATCTGCTTTCTGTCTCATACGGATTTGCTTATTCTAGACAGTTTATCTAAGTAAAGTCTGACACAATGTGGCCTTTTGTGACTGACTTCTCTCACTCAGCAGCATATTTTCAAGGTTCATCCACATTGTAGTGTGTATCAGTGCCTCCTTCCTTTTTATTGTCAAAATGTATTA